GTTACGATTGCTTGCGTAAATTAAAAAACAAAACAAATTTTGCAGTTGTATTTGATAATTAATAAATGCTAGTAATAATCATTTGTCGATTGGATGTATAGTCACATATTTCACATCGCGATCGTGAGAATTTTGTGTTATTAAATGCATACCGAATGTTTTCTCTGTAATGTCATGTTAAAAAGAAATTTTACGCGTATACATATTGTACATTATATAATATTTTCAATTTTATATTGTAATTTTGTAATATGTTATGTATAATGTAAAGTAAATTGTATAAAAAATAATGTAAATAATAAAAATGTACCATAAAATGGGATACCTTTAGCCCCTACTTTCGAATTCTTATTAATTAACGACAATAACAGTAAATATCGTTATATATTGTCATTGAGTAGATTTCATACTTAAAAAAGCTACGCAACAACAGTATAACAATATAATATCGACAATACCATTAAAAGTTACAGAATAAAAGCCTTCGTCTCAGAAACTTCGATACAAATTATAAAAGTATACATGCAGCATATATGTCCAAAATCATCACATAAGACTCTTAAAACTTCTTTAAGACAATAGTTCGATCAATTCTTTATATGATTACGTTTTTAAGATATTATAAATCCAGATTTTGCATGCTATATTGCCAAAATTTAAGTTAAATTTATTCTGATTTTGGACGAAAATTATCCCATTTTATGGTATTGTAAAGGAAAGAGGACTGTCGAATGGCAGGGGATGTGGTGGAGGGCCTCTGTAAATTAATTTGTTTTTACCAAATTATATGAAAAACGTATATGCGTAATTCGAGTGTAATATATTTTATGACTTTTTTGTATAATATATTGGTTTAAAAATTAAAGAAAAGAAGAAAATAGAAGAACTGAAGTAATAAACTGACGTTATTTGTCGTCATTTGACGTTAAAATGATGTCTTCAATATTGTTTTGATATCAAAATTACGACAAATAACGTGAACTTGCTAAAGTAAAAAAAAGAGGATCGTCAATTTTAATTGACGAGGGTGGTGGAGGGCCTCTACAAGTTAAATTGTATTTGCCACATCTGAAAAATGTATATAAGCCCGGGAAAAAATATTTTATATATAAAATCGTCTTGAAAAATTTTACAACAAAGCTGCTTTTTCTTCTAAACGCAGCTAATATCTACATTTACTTAATACAGTTCACTATTGTGCATATGCAAAAAATCGCATGCACCTATATCCGAATTGTTACATTTATAGTCAGTACATGTAGCTCCGTAATTTTCAATTGTAATTATTCACATAAAAAGAGAAATTTATAACATTGCATGTATTTTGATAACTTTCCAAACCAGTATTTCAGCAAAAGATGTCATCACGAGCGATTAAATATTTATTGCTATAATCATTGTTTATGCTTAATAATTACAAAATTTTAATAATTTTTTTCTTATCACTAATCCCGGGAAAAAATATTTTATATATTGTATAATTATATAAAATTATATATAATTTTATATAATTGTATATAAATGGACATATTTTATATACAATTGTATATAATTATATATACATATTTATATATAATAATATAGAATTATATTTAATTTATACATAATTTTATTTAATTATATAAAAATATTTTTTCCCCGCATGTTATCATTTTTAGATACTTATAAAACTCAGCTAAAAAATATGTTAAATAACAAATCTGTATTTTTTTTATATTAAGTTGCTATCAAATTTTTTTTTTTCCCCCGAAATATCATAGTTTTATAAATCGCCATAATTATCAATTTTATTGCCAGTGGCTACTAATCAGTTCATTATTTGCACCTACACTAGCTAGACTCGCATCACAATACCAGAAACTGAGAGAATCGTGAGAGAGACCATTCCATCGTCGAAATCTCTGGTACACTATCGTCAATATATCCATTTTCAAATTAAGTACTACGTAGCTACTTCCATTTCCAACACTATCGATAAAATCATAGCAGAAAAAACGAAGGATGTGATGCAAATCAAACTACAAGTTTCCAAAAATTGTGAAGAATGTTGAATTTGCATATATATAATAAACATAAAAATGTATATATAAATATATATATATATATATATTTATCTTAATCAATTATATTTTATACTATAGCAAAAGAAAAATTATGTAACGTTATTATATATCTAAAAAAATTTCTTGAAATTAAAATTTAACAGGAACTTTAATATGATAAGTATCTCAGCTTAAGAGATATTGACCAATATTTATTGCGAGTAATAGTCATTGCAACAATACTTGTGTGATAACAATGCTTTTGCAAAGATTGTTTTATCCATATAATTACGCACTATTAAATTATAGAAATTTGTATGTCACTAAAATTCTTAATCTAAGTTTTTCTAATTTTAAAATTTGATTGTAAAGGAGATAATTAAATAGAGAGTAGATCAATACATTCGATTAAATAATGATACTCAATTGAGTAAATAAAATATACTATTCAATTCTATGTTGTACATTTCTTGTGTTTATATTTGTATCGTATGGTATTCTCATCGAAATATGTGTTATATTTTCTCCATTTTTCTGTAGCCATAACCTCTTTTGGAAGTCTGTCTGGTAACAAGCCTAAAAAATAAGGGAGACAAACATTATTTCTAGAAATATAATTTTTCAACTCTATATTATTCGTAATTTTTTTAACGTAATTAGTGTAATTGTGTAAGATGTTCCTAACATTCCAACATTATATCTCAATTTTCGTTATTTTTGATAATTTATGATGAAATATAGATTGATAATATTCTAAATGCTTTAAATAGAATAGAACTTCATTACACTTCAGTATATCTAAGTGCTTTAGCTTATATAAAGATAATACAAAAATTTTTGCATTATAAAATAATTTGTGCCAAATATGTATATAAATATACATGTATTTAGCAAATTTATAAAATTGGAATGTCTTGGATACCTCATAAATAATGAAAAGTTAATAATAGGTTTGTTATTTTCAGTTGATTTTTGGCACAGTTTATATTTTTCCCTCTATGTTGAAAAGAAAAAGTGAGAGGTAAACAGTGCAAAATCTCAGCTAAAAAAGACAAGCTTACAACATTCTCCGATAAATTTAGATTAACATACAGAAATATATATATTAACGAACCTGCTCTTTTAGCCATAGTCACTAAAGTGGTAACTTTATTCTGCTGTATCTTACACAGACCTGTTATTCTACGTGGCAGTACGGTTCCATTTTTTCGTAAGAACTGATTTAGAATAAGAACATCCTGTAAAACATAGAAAACCTCAGATTTGATGACTAATATAAATTATTCATATAATATACAGAATGGCCATACAAATGTTGTACTATTTATATAATAAACCTGAAAATTTGATTACCAAAGCTTGAAAGCAAGACAATTAAAAATTTTAAATTAGATACAATGCAAGATAATTAAATTATATGACATTTTATAAGTCATCCTATAAAATACTTTTGTCCATTTCTCTATCAATGCAATTTAAGTTAATTCACTAAAAAGATGAATAAATTAAACCAAGATTAAATCAATCATTAGTAGAAACAGGCATTTATATTCTTGTCTGCCAATATTAACTTTGATGTAAGTTTACACTTTATCCTTTTCTAATTTTTAGAACTATAAAACGATAAAAAGTAAGTTAAACTAAAGATTAATTTTTAAACCAAGATTAAAAATTAATTTACATTGGTAGAAATGGGCAACAGAGTGTTAATAAAACTTACAGTATGTTTAACGTCAAGTCCCGTAGCGCAAAGAGAACACGCATTGGACTCTAATTTGAATAATAAATGCTCCTTCTTATGTGGCACTGTTATAGCTTCGATAGTTAAGACATTATCTTCTTTCTTCTTAATTACTACGACAAGAAATTAAATGTAAGTTCGAGTTATTGAGACAAGGTTACGTACAGGTTAGTATAGATAGTATAAGTTGGCAATAAAAATCACAATAAAATTACGTGCTCCGCTCTGTTTAATAGCGAACTTACTCTGTTTTAAATGTGTGATTGCGGACAGTGATATGCTTCTATTAGATTTCGAGAAAATCAGACTTTTCCCAAATTGCTTTACAGACAGAAACAGAGCTGCCATTTTCGACCCAGTGATTCTCGATGTTTTGCTCGTACATTCATAGCATTTGTAGCGGTAGTCGGTAACGAAAGAATTAAACAGATTTGTATCTTATCGAAAATATTAATTTTGTGGAAAATTTATAGTTTATTTTGTGCATATAGAGAATTTCATAAAATTCCAACAGGCTTTTTTACATTTTAAATTTACATTTTTTATTTTAATTTTTAAAATTTCATATTGACTAAACAAATTTGAAAATTTTAAACAATTTTAATGTTGATTTTCGTATTTTTATATAATACTTTTGTATAAATAATAAATATTTTATAACTTTAATATTTTAATATTTTATTAAATTTATTAAACATTGAACTATATAAGATTCGTTTTTTTTTTATCTGCGCTGCATTACATTTTTTGCACTTAGAACGAGATAGATGAGAAAAATTGAAGAGAAATATGGAAAAGTCGAAAAAATTCAACTATAAAGAACAAACTATATATACACGGGGTGTATTTGTGTAATTGTTTTACCGCATGAAGTTGCATCCATATGCGTGTTTTTTTCTAAATATAAAACTGAAAGCTTTGATGTTTTCTTTTTAATATTAAAATTAAAAAGAGAAAAAGAAAGTAATTTCCTGTAAAAAAAAAAATTTCAAAATCCGACAATCATAATATACGAATATTTAGAGATACGAGACGTTCGATCACTAGAAGCCAACTTCAAGTGGGACTGACGCCGCGTGACGTCACGTGCGCAGCTAGTCACACTTCACTTCGTTCCTGTCGCGTTCCCCGCGTCCCACCTCGTCATCATCGTCGTCGTCGTCGTCGTCGTCGTCGCCGCGCGGCCGTAGCGCTCTCGCGGCAGTCGCGATCGTCTGCGATGAGTTTAGTTTTGAAAACAAAGGGCCGCCCGCCGTATACCGTGGTGCGTCGTCACACGGCTTGCGCTTAAAGAAAAGCGGAAGCGCCTCCGCGAGTGCGGCGCAAAACGGCGGACGAGGATTAAAACGCCGTGTGTTGTGAGACAAGTCGTGTACTACGATTTCAACGGTCTTTCCGTCCCTCATTCGTTTCAGCTGTTTATTCGTACGTCCGTCCGTCACTCTCATTCTCTCCTGTGTGCTTCTACCTATACAGATATATTAAATATCTATAAAAATATTTATCCTGTTTATCCTCTCTCTTTCTCTCTCTTCCTCTCTCTCCTGACCGACCCCGAAATTTCCCGTGACACTCTTCCTTCGTGTCATCGTTGGAAACGTGATCAACACAAAAAAATGGACGCACTTCGGGAGCAGGTGATGATCAATCAGTTTGTGTTGGCCGCGGGCTGTGCCAGGGAGCAGGCAAAGCAATTGCTGCAGGCAGCACATTGGCAGTTTGAGGTGAGCAACAAATTACAAGATGAACTATTTGGACTGAGAATGTAAAGAATCGGAAAGGGAGGGGCGGGGGAAGGAAATGGGCCCTGAGAATATGTCCCTCCCTCCCCGTTCTGTGACGTCTGTGTATATCGCATATACACGTATTATGGCACGTAAGTGGTGTATCCTCGCCTCGCGGACAGTGCTACGTAAACAAAGCGACGAAAATGGCCGCCGTCGTCGCCGCTTTAACGCCGCGTGATCCTCGCGATGAGGAACGCGCCGATCCGCGAATCGACGTTCGTTCTTCGTCGGGGCCGTCGACGAAAGCGCGAAGGCCACGCCGCTGTCTCGTCCGCTTCATTCATAAAAATTGCGTGAGCCGATATGCCTGCTAATGCGGCACAACGCTCGCAACACGCGGCCCGATGTGGGATCGCAAGAATAACAAGAAAAACATAAACCCGTAGATTTGGCTTTTATTCTTGCAGGTAATGCCCGCTTTCTATCGCTGCAGATTAACTTTAATCTTTGTTTAAGTTACTTTTCGTCTCTTTTTAGTATTCTAAGAATTAAAAGACGATGAAGAGTAAATTAAATTAAATCTACATTGGTAGAGAAGTGTTGGATTCCACATGTGAGATTAACTTTAATCTTGATTTAACTTACTATTTGTCTTTTTCTAGTTCTAAGAATTAGAATAATTCTTTGAATAATTCATAGAATTAGAAAAAGATAAACAGTAAGTTAAAGTTAATATTACATTGGTAGAAGTAGGCGGCTGTACTAGAACTTGGAAGGTTCCTCTGTTCTTGGTTTCTTGATATATCTTTTCTCTTTTGTTTTTCATACTCGAGAGAAAAGGAGAAAGGATGAGCTCTGCAAGAAGTTGAGCTAAAAAAACAGACCTTTCCTAGCTCTCATTAAATTGCAAAGTGAAGCCTGAGACATAATTAAAAAGTCCACGCGATATAGGAACAGGAAATAACAGATTCAATCTATTTAGAATTATATTCTGGTCTATATGTTTCCTGATAGATTGAAATTCGTTATTCCCTGTTGCCTGTACTTTTCAATTGTGCCTGAGGCTTCACTTTCAGTATAGAACATGTACATGAGTTCATCTATAAAAAAACAGACGTGTCTTTTGTTAGCCCCGCGCTTGTCGTAAATGTGCAACATCGTGGAACAGCGACCGTAAATAATAGGATCTGCAGAAACGGTCTTGTCTTGCCGATGCTGACGGGAGCGTTGCGGCACCCCGCACGTTGTATCGCTTTCATTTCACTTTCGCATCCGGCTTGCGCACAGTTGTTGTACAACCTGCGTTTGTTTTCATTTTGCAGATTTGTGTGACAATCGTCATCGTTGCGTAACAGGATTTTGTCGCCGCTATTGATTCATCAACAATCCTTTCTCCGTGTAGGGTGTCGTATCGATTGTAGCGTTATATTACGCCATAGATCATAAATTGTGAAATTATTATGCAATATTATTGCTCTAGAGTCGCACATCCCGAGAGCGATTACGGCACTCTCTTTGGATTACGTCATTTTTCGCACACGACGCAAGATCTTATCCCAATTGACGGACGTAGGACGACGGGAAAGGGATCGATAATTGCTATTTGCGGCAAGTCACGTGGTATACCGGTGTTTACACTCGCCTTCTACAATCCTGTGAAGCTGAAGTTACACAATCCTGTGCGTTAAAAGCAGGAATTGGAAATGACTATAAATTTTTGGCGAATTCAGGGCCCGATGCCCGGCGGGCACGCAAGCATGACTCATCTACGTAATTTTCCGCAGATGATGAAATCACATCGTCGTTGACATAAAATCCCATTTCTTGATATGTCTATATAGAGAAAAAGTTTCTTTAAATCGAACAAATTTATACATTGGAATAGTTAAACCAAATGGATGTTTAAATTAAGAATGCGATTACTTTCATTAAAATTAAATTTTTTTTTTAAATTTACTGCTAAACAAAATATGTTTCATTTAAAATTTAATTTATTTCAATGAAACTAATGTAAATAGAATTCTTTTAGTCCAGACAAATCTTTTTCTCTATATGTGTGTGTACACGCACACGCGCGCGCGCGCATACACACACACACACACACACACACAGAAAAGTTTATGTTAAAAACACATTTCACGTATTTCAAAAAGACCACTTAAATTTTTGTTTTTATTTAATTTAATACAAGAAAAATATTAAAAAGTAAAATAAATATTATATAGTAATTAAAAAATATTATAAATGTTATATATAATAAAAAATAAAATGTTATATAATAGTTAAAAAATAACATAAAGTTATATAAAAAAGTTAAAACAAAAAATGTAAACACTGACACGATTTGTAAGCAGACTGCATATTTTTAAAGTAAAATTAATATATATAAAATTAATACGTATTTTATTTATTCATCTCAGAATGTTTTTTAAAACGTAAATTATATAAGATAAGAATGGATACAATATGTAAATTTTCAGATTAGAATGAATAAAATGTGTTAATTTAACATATAAATGTTAAATTCATTGAAACATGTTAATTTAACGTTATAAATGTTAATTTTAATGAAGAAATATATTGTTTACAAATTGTGTCAATGTTATGTTTTTTTATGTTAATTTTTTACATATCTGTGCAACATCCAATATTCATTTTGTATTAAATCAACATTTAAGTTTATAATTTACATAAAATTTAAGTGAATTGTTAGAGATACGTAAAATGTGTTAAATTTACACATTAAACATAAATTTTCCGACTATGTATGTATGTAATATTCTTTTCCTTAGCAATAAATCCGGTAGAAAAAGATTGATTGTTTATTGCTGAAAAGGAAACCTTTCGCTAATTTCGATTTGTGATAGGACTGCTAAAAATAGATATGAATTCTTGTTACATGTGCTTTCACACGTAGGGATTGATTTTTCATTTAGGAATTGAAACAATTCTTCGATATTAATTCAATATATCTGATTTCGATGGAATGTTATCGAAACCGTGTAATGTATAAAAAATGTTTTAAACAAAAGGTAGTGTAACATTTTATCTACTTTATAATTAGACATTTTATATTTAGATTTTTCAAAAATGTCATATTTTGTCAATCTCATCTTCATTTTTAAGTAATTAAATCATATATTTATTAGGATAAAAATGAAAAAGTTTTATTACAAAATCAATTATATAATAAAAATGTTTATATATTACTGAGAAAGAGAGACGAAAAGAAGAATGAGAAATTTTTTAGAAGAATAGAGATATGCTATAATTAATCGCTTGCATTATTTATTCGTCAGAGTAAATAATGCAAGCGATTTCAGGATAAACCATGCAATCCTTATGCGCTTGTATCACGTAATTCATTTTTAAACACACGTCGATAGAGTAAAAAAAGGAAGGAGCAAAAAAGAAAGAGAACGAAAAGGAGGGAGAGAGAGAGAGAGAGAGAGAGAGACTATATTGCGACACGCGCTAACGCATCATTGTGATTAGAGTTAGCTCGAGGAATCTTTCTGTGTCTTTGACCACAACGTAAACAATGCAGCAATGTGTATTTATATACGCCTCGTCTCGTCTCGTCTCGTCTCGTCTCGCCTTGCCTTGGCACATACATCAACTCGGTGCAGCGCAATGTACACGGTGTCCCATTATTGTATCGCATTCAATCTTAATCATTGAAAGGAAAGATTAGCTTGTTAGAAGTCTGTTTTCTAATTCTATAAAATTACTATCGTGAAATGTCAGTGAGTTTTATTAGCTTTATTGAGTCTGAGCATTAAAGTATATACACGGAAAGAATGATTTTGCTGAAGTATCTAAAAATTTAGCTAGATACAAATTGAAAGTAACTTTAGATCAAAATAATTACGTAGAATCTTAACCATGATGAATAATACCGCAAAAAGTTTTAACATTCTAAAGTATCCTACATAATTATTTTGAAAGCCTAACAAAATTATTTTTGTTAGATCTGCATTCAGATAATTAAAATAAATTTTTATATACACTTTTTTTGTATTAATTTAATTAATACAAGATAAATATGTTAGAAAGTAACATAAATATTATGTAAAAAATTAATACAAAAAACGTAATATTGAAACAATTCATAAACAATTAATTTTATTATAATTAACATTTACAATGTATTAAATTAACGTGCTTTAATAAATTTAACATTTATAATATGTGAAAATACATTTCATTTATTTATCTGAGAATTTATTATTTTAAAAAACATTATTTTATGTAATTTGTACATTCAAACTTAAATAATTATTATTGTAATTGATTCAAAGTTATTATGTTAAGAAACGTTGAATATATATCAATTTAACACAAAATATTCAAATAATTACGTTATGTTAAGTTAATACTTGGATATATTAAAAATTCAATATAAAATTATAATATGAATTTCAGTGGACCGTTTCTAACACAAATATAAAATATTTTTTACTGTGTACTTCAGCATAACTACAGACTGGAAGAATATTTGTTTGATATATTTTCTTGTTTTTATAATAATGTTGTGGTATAAACTTGTTAGCAATTATATTGATTTCAGTCTATGCAACGACAGGCGCAAAACGGTCGCAAGGTATAGATAGTATAGATAATAACGTGAATGTTATAGCGAATTCTCTCTGCTCGAGAACTTTCTCCGTTCAAATGGTGCGGAGTATTAAAGCGGAATCATGCAATCCGAAGTCGTGGTCGAATTTACTTCTTATTAAAACTTTTTATACCCTCACCTCTTTATTTAAATAAATAAATCAACTAGATAAACAAAAGAAAAATATATATCTATATGAATTATAATTATTTTAATATAATGTTAAAAAAGCTGCTTATGCACACTAAAAAAAAATTATAACAACTTTTGAACAAATATCAGACATTCAAATAAATATTGAACGCACGTTACATCATTATCATTGGGATAATGAATTTTATATAATCGCGATATAATTACACCGATAATTGTAGTCGTTAATTAAATATTTATTGCGTAATTATGCAACTCGTTGAATTAACGCCGTATTCTCTGAAACAAGTTAATCTCTAATTTTATTTATTCAGTAAAATTTGTTTTTTTTTTTTTCGATTTGCTTTATTCCAAATCTCTTTCCCGTTAAATTTTGCAAATAAATACGTCAAACTAATTGTTCTTTTTTCTCGGTATTTCCCTGAAGAGAGTATTTTTGTTTTGTATTTATGAGACTGTTAATAAATACTGAAAAAAAAACAAACGGAAACACAGACATACGACGAATCTACCTTTGCACGTTTATTCCTTTCGCTGCAACGCTGTTCTGACCGAAATATGAAACGCGTTCCTTGCCGCGCTGGCTTATTACATTCTTATGCTAATATCCTCAATGTATCCGAGAGTATCGAGTATCACCGGCGCTTTAATTAAACGCCGGTGGTTGAATGTCATGGTATATTGCGTAACGCGTTTGCCTTGTAATAAGCGTTAAACTCATTGCGCGCCGTTTCGAGCAATGCTGCTCTAATAAAATTACATTTATATAATTGTGTTTAATTATTATTCGGTCATTATATTATCACAAGTTAAAATAGTCGCTTAGGTGTTGAGAAGCGGAGCTGTTTATAAATAATTATTGATACATTAATAATTGCTGATAATTCACGAACCGTTAAAACCATCATGTTACAACGGTTATCAGCAATTATCGGATATCTTTATCGGCAGCTCCTGGGAAGTGCAAACGTATGGATATCCGACGCGCAGAGATCGGATATCGATACTCTAAAGCATCGGACGATACTGACGAAGTTGCTTGCAAAATGACCGAAAGATTGCGACGGATACTTTAATGACATCTGGCAGAGTTATTCAGTCCGATTACGTCGTCCTCTCGCTGTTCCTAATCATAGAGACGATCCCTTGCACTCGATTAAGATTCATGCGGCTAGAGACGCAAAAGCAGTGTATTGAAACTGTATTTCAACACATTTTACTATCCCAAAAATAAAAGATTAAAAATTAGAAAAAAAACTGTCTTTAACAATTAATGTCATTCATTGTAAATGGATAATTGATCTGTTTCTTTATTTTATTATAAACGAAACTTAAAAATGAAAGAGAGATGTCTGTGATATCTATTTCTTTTCAATACTTTAAATATCTATTGTTTGAAACAAATTTTTAATTTTTTTCACGATCGTATGAGCATAAAAATAGAATTAAGAGACCTAGATAATAATCGATTTAATTTTACAATTGCATCTAAAAATGCTATAATTTTGCCTGAAAATTTAAGCGACAAGTATTTGAGAAATCAGGGATTTTCTTCTTACGTTTAAATAGACGTTCTAATATTAGTATTAGAAGCAATAATGCGTAAATTTTTTTATGTATTATTTTCACGCAATATTTAATGAAGCGTGTTTTTCTAACGATCGTGCTTTCTCTCTTGCAGACCGCTCTCAGTATTTTCTTCCAAGAGGCGGCGATACCCTCCTGCGCGCAAGGAGCCGGCACTCACTTCGGCCAAGTAAGTCTTTTGCATCATTCACTTCTAACGCGACCGACGAGAAAAGCATGTAAAAGGGAGCCACGTAAATCGGTGCACTCTGCGCAATCAATGAGTATTTCTGTATCGACGACTGTATTCTCAGTTTCTCGTTTCATACATTAAGATATACTTATAGACAAATTTTGCGCTAAAGCTTGGATCCGTAGTAGAAATGACTTTATAATATAAAACAAGCAACGCAGAAAAATATGATATCGTGCGTCTTCGTGTCATGCAAACATAAGCATGATTGACATCACGCTATAATATATTTATATGTTTATTTTTCGTGATATATTTTGTATCAATTTAAAAAGAGAAAACATTAATCGCGCGTATATAGTATAACATTATTGCTATATCAATATTAATATTATATTAATGAGCATAAATGTCAATTATTTCTTATATACGTAATGAACTGCCATTGAATTTATACCATATGTTTCTCGAATTTCCATATGTATTTAAAATATTGCTATAATTATATATTATTATATTCTTATGATTCACATTCTATCACATCAATAAAAAACATTTGTGCAATACAAGAACAATTAAAATTCATTGACATATTATAATATTCTACATAAATTATTACCCATTTGGATTTGAGAGATTCTGGAAACTCTTTGATCTTGTATTATATAATTCGTTATATCCAGTGAATGCGGCGTCAACGTGACTAGCATTGTAACTTCTTTACATATATAACACTGGTGACCTCGAAACTACAAATACCTAAGAATACTACTAAAGATCTAAAATTTTTATCGAGTCTTTGATTCTCTTTTTATTGATATTTTAAATTAATATTATTAAATTAAATTATAAATTAATTGCAACAACATCTAAAATCCATTCCGAGGCTCTCCAATGTAGATTAACTTAATCTTGATTTAACTTATTTTTTATCTTTTTCTACTCCTAAGTATTAAAAAGGGATAAAGAGTAAACTAAAATTGAACTTTATTTACATTAATAAAAATGGTCATGAA